ATCAATTATTGTTTAATTTTTAGTAATTAAAAATCAATTTCAATTTCTCCTTCATTACTTGGTTGAGTTCTTTCACTTATTTTATTATTGGTGTGAGACGTTTCATCTTCTTCATCAAAAGAAATTTCATTAACCCCATCTTCATCAGATAAAACAATTTCCCCATTATTTTCATTACATAACACTTCAAGATCATCATTAGTATCAACATTGATACCCTTAAATGATTCAACATGAGTTTTACCTTCCACTACAGCAGTATCTCTTAAGTACAAACTCTTTACATTAATAATATCTCTTTTTAGTAATCCAAGTAATTGAGTGGTTTTATTGAGTAACTCTTCATTTCCAATGATTTGTGCTGCCTTTATTACTTCTTCACAAACTTGTTCCATTCTTAACACGCATCTAACAATTAACCCTTCAGTAGTGGCTGAAGAATCAATAACTTCATTAAATGGTTTTCTTAATGCCCATAAAGCAACTCCTTCCATTAGACCAAAATTTAATTTAACATATTTTTCAATATTATACTCCATATTTAGAGAGTCTTCGTAATCAACAATTTCCATTGCGTATTGGTCAACAAGATTCATTAATGATTTTGTTTGAGAACTAAAGTGGTCAATTAATTCTTCTTGTGATTCATTGCTTGGTTCAAATACAAATACACTGAAAATAGCTGCCATTTCATGAATTTCTAATTGGTTTAATACTCCATCAAACATCATATTAGTTAAAATCATTCCATCTGAGCTAACCATTTCCTTTGCCACTTTTCCTTTTAATGTTAATAAATTATGCTCATCAACAAAATTAAAATGTTTAAGTACTTCCAATCTTAAATTTAATTCTCTGTCAACTCGTTCTTTGTTCATTTGGTATTTACCTGTAATTTCATCAATCATTTTTTCAAGTTGTCTTTGTGCCTTATCTTCTTTTTCACCATATTTATAAGCAACACATGAATATGCTGGCATTGCTTTCATTATTTTTATATGTTCATTGTATTGTTGTATAAGAGAACTATAATCTTTTGGTCTTTTTTTTTCACTTTGGTATGGTTGGAAAAATGGTTCTTTTCCTCTATTTTTTTTAAATCCTACTAACCTATCATATAAAGCTTGCCTTTGGTTGTTTTCTATTTCAAGAAGTGCTTCTGAATAATTGTTGCCTCCTTTTGCTTTAAACTGTTTCTGATAAATAGCAATCATATCACTGAATAATATAAATTCATTCATCCCTTTCTTTTCATCAAAATAATACACCATTGATCCATTGTCTAATGGTTCAATAATAACTCCAAAATACCTTTTCTCATTTTCTGCTCTAAATTTTATAACTCTTCCATTAATATTAAAGTTATTGCCTCCTTTAAATTTTGCTTCAATTATTTCTCTTGTTATTTCTTTTTTAATGTCTTTAACTTCTTTTTTAATAATGTCTAATGCTTCATGATCACATTCAGGATTTTCACAAACAGTAGTAGTATGTTGAAGTAATTTTCTAGCTTCTTCAGCTAAATTATTTCGTTGAGCCATCTCAAATAAATCAATTTTTGAATATGATTTCATCATTTGTTGTGTAAGATCATCTCCTCCAAAACATACCCAATTTAACATCATCCAATATGTAATATAAAATTGACTAATCATCTTTGCTGGTGCTCCACATGATATTTCTTGCATTTGTTTTGGAGATGGTAATACTTGATTAGGAAAGATAATAACATTTCCTGCTGCATCTTTACCTCTTCTACCTGCTCTTCCTGCCATTTGTGTATATTCTCCTGGTAATAAAAATCTAGTTTCTTTTCCATCAAACTTTTCAACAGAAGGAAAAATTACAGATTTAGCAGGCATATTTACTCCCATTGCAAAAGTTTCAGTAGCAAATAGTACTTTAATATCTCCTTGGGAAAATAGTACTTCTACAATTTCTTTTAAGAATGGAATTAATCCAGCGTGATGTACTCCAATTCCTCTCATTAATAATGACTTTACTTCACTTATTTGAGGTAAATTTTTCTCAGAGTCTACAAGTCCTTCAGTCATTTCTTTAAATAAGCTATTGATCTTATATGGATTAGTATCAAATTTAGTTGCTTTTGCTAATTTCTTAGCATAGTCCATAACTAATTTACGACTAAAAATAAAGAAGACAGCAGGAAGTTTTGTGTCATGTTCTAAATAATTAATTAATTCTTCTATTGAATTAACTCCATGTAATTGATCTTTTACTCTTCTATTTTTTGAAAATTTAGGAACAATACGTTGATATGCTTCAGTATAATTATTTAAAAGGAAAGTACTTTCTCCTTTTTTAAATAATATAAGTTTTGATGGAAGTTCTTCTTTTTTTTTACAAAAAACATAATGTTCTAGTGGAACTGGTCTATATAACGTTTTTACAAGACACACCCTTTGATCTTTTGTTCTTCCAATCCATTCAGCAAAATTAATAGCATTTTCTACAGTTGCACTAAGCATTAACATTTTTACATGTTTTGGAAGACTCATAATAACTTCTTCCCAAACTACACCTCTTTCTTCATCATTAACATAATGAACTTCATCAAAAATAACCCAATCTACTTGTTCAATAAATTTAGAGTCTTGATATAATTTAGAACGAAGAATTTCTGTTGTCATGATAGTAACAAGATCATCTTCTCCTTGAATAACAACATCTCCTGTCATAATACCTACTTTACCAAAAATTTTTCTAAAATCATAATACTTTTGATTTGATAATGCTTTAATTGGTGACGTATAAATTGCTTTCATTCCTTTAGACTTTGCAATAGATATAGCGTATTCAGCTGTAGCTGTTTTACCAGCTGAAGTATGTGCAATAACAAAAACATGTTCATCTAATTCCATATGATAAATAGCTTGTTTTTGAAATGTATCAAGTTCAAAATCATATTTTCTTTTCATGTCAGGAACTAACTCATTAAAGTTTTTCATGTCACTTGTTTCTTCAAATGCATATTTATATTCTCCTTTATTTTGTTGTAATTTTTCTATATACTTTTCTATTTCTGTTTGTTCTTTTTGAGTGATTTTTTCTCCTTTTACAACTTTGTTTTGGAAGGCATTCTTAAGTTTATTTCTTTCTTTAAGAGTTAGACAGATATTTTCAGACATTGAGACTTAATTAATAAAAACAGTTCATTAAAGGATATGATTAAAAAAAACGGTTTAAAATATTTATTTATTATAATATTA